ACCCCATGAACCATCCTTCATCTCTGTCCTTCCTCCGCTCTGCCATTTCAGACAGACAGCCACCATGATGAAATGGACTTGAAATAAGCTATGTAATTTTTTATAGGTCAAATTGCGTAGCTTTTTTCAAGCTACGAGTGCAGTGAAGGTGCACCTGAAGGGACTGCGAGAGGTCATCAAGTCCATTCTCCTGCCCTCATGGCAGGACCAAGCACCATCTATCATCCCTGATAGATGTTTATCTAACCGGCTCTTAAATATCTCCAGCGATGGATATTCCACAACTTCCCTAGGAAATTTATTCAATATACACAACACAACTCAAAGAGCAGTATAGCAAACTGATTTTATTTTAATATGCCATTTACTTGCACCTTTCCTCCCTCCTCCCAAAAAAAGGAAGAAAGAAAATGGGATAGATATTTACAGTTGGCATCCTCAGTTTCTGAATGCATACTGACTTATTGTCAATGTAACAGCAATCTCTCTTTTTTAGGGTGGGGTTAGATGTGGAGAAGAAACAGAACTTAATATGTCTCCTTTAATGTCTGTGAAAAGTAGCAGAATAGATTTTCTCTTCATCCAAAGAAAAGCTGCAGCCTCAACAGCAACAATGCCAGATTCCCAGCACCACCTCCTCTAGGGCCTTCAAACATACTGCAGAAGGTCTCACTATATGTTTCAACTCTGGACTTACTGTAATCTTGATGCTTGTGTAAACTGCTATGCACTTCTACAAGGGGGGAGGACTTGTGTATTGCAGGAGTTCTTGGATTGTGGTCAGGGCTGAAAGGAACTTAAATTTCTTTCAGGTCCTGTCCTATTGCAACTCAGGTCCCTGCCAGCTCTTTAAATAGCTTCCTGCTGGCTTTTGCCACAGCTCAGCCAGTTCTTGCAGGAGCTGCACACCAGAGCGCACCCGGATTGCTTTCACCTCTGATTGCAGTGCACAAAAAGGCTGATTCATACATCGGGGTGACATCCTGAGCCTACTGAAGCCAATGGGACCTTTCTTTTCACAGAAGGAAGCAAAGATAATAGCCAGGACTTGGCAGGTCTTGTGAGAGACAACATTCTTGCAGCATTTCTGGTGGGTCATCCAACTGTTCAGATGCCTGCACAACATAAACCACTGCCCTATACATTCCAATGCATTGTCCCAATATATGTTCTTTTGGTTTTACTTCACAAATTGCCGTGAATCCTCTGGATTTTGGGTATTGTGCCTCTCAGATTTGCCGGTCAGTTTTTTGTTCAGGGGAGTTGTCAACTAGAACAGGAAGACCAGACCCTTAAGTAAACTAAATAAAACATCAATACAGAATACAGGTTTGCAAGACTTTCAGATTTAGTCCCATAGTTAATGCTTGCAAAGTGCTTTGAGATCCTAATATGGAAAGCATTGCTGAAGGCAAATTGTTAACAGTCATGGACTTTTTCTTAAACACTAGACTGTTACAATATTACCTTTCCTTTACAACCACTGGATGCATCAATGTAGTCTGGTAAGAATTTGCATGTGATAAGTTTGCTCTCCAAAATTCCATTTTGCACTGGAGTCATTTTGGAGTCTCACCACGACATACGAAGTTCTTAGTGTTAATTGTAAAGAACACACTCCCCAAAGAGAAAATACTTTCCTAACTGACAGGAAGTGCTAAAACCATCCCCTTTAACCATAACAAAGTGACTGATTCTAGTAAAGCAATTCCAACTCGTGGGGGGAAAAATTAAAACAATACTGTTTCTACAAAGGAGAATGATACAAGGGGGAAAAGTTCAAAATCTGTATAATAATAAAAACAGATCTTTGGCTCTTAAGACATTGGACTGCAAATACAATAAAATGCTTCTGTAAAAAGGCCATTGTAGGGTACCATATTTATTCTCTCAATTATATCCAGATTAATTCTGCTCAGTTAAATAAAGATGTTTCTGGTAACTACAAACCAAACCAAATTGGAGAGCTGTTTTTCCCCCTTGCATCATCCCGGTACCAAAGATTCTGCCATTAGAATTTAGCTGACAATCCACACAAAAGACATGTTCAGTGAAGTTAGCAGGGGTTGACTTGGGCGTTACCACCCAGTAAATATGTTGAGTAAGGGGCAATTTTAACAGTTACTTTTCTAAGTAGAACCTCATTTTAAGCCACTTTCACTTGTAAAACATGTCAGTGAGAAATTAGTACTAATGGGGACAACTTTCTTTCTCAAGGCAACACTTGACTTTTGCTAGTGATCTGTGTGTAACACATACAGAAACAATAGACACATAAACCATTTAATAACCACTGCATCTCATATTTTACTACTTTTACACATAAAAATGAGAAACATATTTATTTTAGATCAAATAAGTAAACCCGAAATTATGGCCTGCAGAAAGGTATTCAACAATTCCTGGTTATTTCTAATGAAATTTTGCACATTTCACATTTCAAAGTGGGGAACAATATGGAATAACAACATCTAAAGATGTACCTTCCCTTAGTAACGTATAGGATTGGACTAAAACCCTTGTCTACTCCTCAACATGAAGTCCAGAGAAAGAAAATATTCCAAAAAACTATTTGATTAAAAAATAATCACTTGGGATATATAACGGCACATCTTGAGAGTAGGACAGGATTTCATTAAGACAAGGTTCTGAAGGTGGCCTATACAAAATCAACATGCCAGGCCAGAGAAAAACAAAATGTTATTCAGAAAATACTCATGCAAGAACTCTTGAAATAAGAACTTCAGTGACTCATGAAGGGAGCTATAAATACGAAGGAACAAAGAGTACTTAGAAAGATCCAGAGGAAATGCTGAAGGAGAACAGCCTTGTGAGGCAGAGTCAGGAAACAACTGACAGAAAATCCTAGAGGAAGTTGGATGAGTGAGTAGAATCGTTGTGGCTTAACAAACCCTAAAGCAGTGGGGATCTTTGGAATTTACTATGAACTCCTCCTGTCAGAATGATTAGGATGACCTTAATTTTGTAACCCTGGTCTGCCCATCTTCTAAGTCCCCCACTTATTGTGGTAACTCTCACATGTCTGGCATGTCTCAAAGGGGTAACCATGTTAGTCTGAATCTGCAACAACAACAAGGAGTCCAATGGCACCTTAAAGCCTAACAGAAGTATTTGAGCATAAGCTTTTGTGGCTAAAAACCACTTTGTCAGACGCACTGGAATAGATTTGGTCCCGTGATATTCCAGGGAGTTTCTTGAGCAGATGGACGTCAGATGCATCCGACAAAGTGGTTTTTACCCATGAAAGCTTATGTCCAATAGGGATGTAAACCCCCAGTTAACCAGTTAACCGATCAATCCTTAGGTTTACCTGGTTAACTGATTAAGCAGGAACTGCTGGCAGCACCAAGCATGGGGGAGCCAGCTTCTGCTTCCCCAGCCTCACTTGGGATTGCCGGAGTCGGCAGCAGAAACCAGCAGCCCCAAGCGCAGGGAGGAGGGGAGACAGATAGCGGGAGCCACTGACCCTATGCATGAGGGAGGCTAGTTTCTGCTCCTGGCCTCCTCCAAGTGGAGGGTGGTCGGCTCCTGCTGCCCTCCCCTGCCACGTAGGGGGAGTTAGCTCCTGACCCGTGGGTGGCTGGAGCAGCTCTCTGCCTGTGGTGTGCCCAGGGAGGCGGGGGAGGGGGCGGCTGCTCTCGGGGATTGGGTAAACCAGTTACCTGTTCACATCCCTAATAGCCAAATGAATCTAAGTCAAGTCTTTAAGGTGCTCCAGGACTCCTCATTGTGTCTGCAATGTCAACATAAACTCTTCTAGGCAAGGACTGCATCTACTGGTGTGACTTCTTGCAGATTCATTAATAGACGTCCCTGTTTAGGGTCCTACTCTAGCAAATTTGGCAATAAAGGTGATGTGAAAAGTTGATGTTAATGGAAAAGGAAACACAAAAATCCTTGTTGAAACATACGGAGACACAACGCAAAACACAGGCAGGGGAGAAGGAAACACTTAAGGTCAGAGGAATTAAAGGATGAGGCTGTGTTCAGAAGGAGGAAACGGTAATGGAAAGAGGAGAATGAAAAGAAGATTCTTACTATCATATGTTAAGCTAAAAATTAAAGATTTGTATTCCCAAATACATAAAGATACAAGCAATTAATGATAGAGACAGCAGTACCTTTCGGGGGTTGCAAGGAAGATTCATTGAGTGAAGAGAGAGATGACTAAAAAATAATTATTTGCAGCAGCCAAACACAGACATAACATTTCCCTAAAAGGACTGAAAAACTGGAGGGTTGTCAAGACTACGCCAGAAAAGTGAATTGAGAAACGAAAATGTCAGAAGATTGACAACCTTCCCTCTGCCAGCACCATAATGGAATCCACATCATGAAAAAGTGGCAAAAGAAATGACACAACATGTTTGGTAAATCTGGTTTTAACATGTTTAGAATGGGATAATAATGCACACATAGCTGGACTTTAAAAGCCTTTGAAAGCATTAATCTCTATCACTGGAGATCATTCACAAATGGGAGATCATATCTAACAAATTAGAACATTTTGAGAATCAATAACTATTTCATGCAAGTGCTTAGAGGAGTGAAAAATCATGGACAATTTATTTGACATTTAGCAAAATTAATAATTCTGATATCACACAAAATCTGTGAGGACTGTGGGAGGAATCTGAAGGCCATGCAGATTAGGCAGGATGACAAAGGGAAACGAAGGGGCGATTTAAATAATCGCTGCTTCATTTAAGTCAAAATGGCCGCCACGCTGTGCCAATCAGCTGTTTGTTGGCACAGTGCGGCAGTCTAAACAGGGATCTGCTGACCCCAGAACCCTTCGTCGGCAGATCCTTTATGCCTCGTGAAACAAAGGGTTCTGGGTCATGTATCCCTGGTTCATGGCCAGCACTTTCACTGGCAGAAATAGACCCACGACTATGGTGGAGCAAGACAGTTGGTGATATTTGTTCAGAACCTGATGCTCAAGCAATCACTGAAAACTGGAAATAGCCTTTTCCTACCAGCTGATTTTGGAGTGAACTTGTCCCTGTTGGCTGCACATACGGCCAGTAGCCTGTATCCAAGATCCAAGTCAAATCCTTGCTGTGCTGCCACTCGACTCACAACCTGTGAAGGGACAGAGAAAGCGTCAGTGGGGGTTATCTCAAGCCCCTTGCAAAGTCACATTAAGTTGCCTATTGACACAACTGGTACATGTGCCAACAACAGCATACACACGGATACAAGGCATTATTCTCCAAGAGGTTTTCAGAAACCTGCACTTTTGCATCTGTGTGTTCCCATACACTTAAGTATGGCATGTTTTATTGTGTTTAGCAACTAACAGGCCAGACTTTAAATACTGATGCAACAACGTTAATTAATAAACGTAATGCTTTGTTCTTAAGAGCACTGTCTTGTTCAAAAATTCCTCCCTCCTCACTGCTATGCAATATGCTATGTTCTAGGCAGCTGCCACCCTCCACCCCAGAGGTAGCTGCACTTCAGTAACATTGCATACCGTCTGGGAACTATCTTGGGATATCTTCAGGATATCAAAACCTGTAATAAAAGGTGTAGGGATGTAATCGACTAGTTGCTTTCCTCACCCCTTTGCTGGCTCTATCAGAGGGAGCAAACATGTGTTCCCATACACTTAAGTATGGCATGTTTTATTGTGTTTAGCAACTAACAGGCCAGACTTTAAATACTGATGCAACAACGTTAATTAATAAACGTAATGCTTTGTTCTTAAGACCAGGTGCGAGCTGGACCTGTATCCAAGATCCAAGTCAAATCCTTGCTGTGCTGCCACTCGACTCACAACCTGTGAAGGGACAGAGAAAGCGTCAGTGGGGGTTATCTCAAGCCCCTTGCAAAGTCACATTAAGTTGCCTATTGACACAACTGGTACATGTGCCAACAACAGCATACACACGGATACAAGGCATTATTCTCCAAGAGGTTTTCAGAAACCTGCACTTTTGCATCTGTGTGTTCCCCTGAAAGATGGAGAGGCAAAATGCAATACAAACAAACAATAGATTTTTAATATACACTTAAGTATGGCATGTTTTATTGTGTTTAGCAACTAACAGGCCAGACTTTAAATACTGATGCAACAACGTTAATTAATAAACGTAATGCTTTGTTCTTAAGAGCACTGTCTTGTTCAAAAATTCCTCCCTCCTCACTGCTATGCAATATGCTATGTTCTAGGCAGCTGCCACCCTCCACCCCAGAGGTAGCTGCACTTCAGTAACATTGCATACCGTCTGGGAACTATCTTGGGATATCTTCAGGATATCAAAACCTGTAATAAAAGGTGTAGGGATGTAATCGACTAGTTGCTTTCCTCACCCCTTTGCTGGCTCTATCAGAGGGAGCAAACATGGGGGAGCAGGAGCCAGTGCTGTGGGGAGGGGAGCCACCTTAAAATCTGGCTCTCCCCAGCACAGTCTCTGTGGGGAGCAGGGGAAGCAGGGGGTATCAGAGACCAGGTGCGAGCTGGGAATCAGCTGATTCCTGGATTGTGCCCAGTTCCAGGATGCTGCGCCTCTGTTTTTTTAGTGCATTAAGAGCCTCCTCGCTGCGCACCAGCCTTTTAAATGTATTAAGAGCCAGTAGGTCAGAGCCCCAGCAGGGTTAGCTCCCAGGGCTGGGAGCTAACCATGCTGTGGCTCCCCCATTTATCGACTAATCGATGGAAATTCCATCAACTAGTCGATTAGTTGATTAAACTAAATTTAACATCCCTAAAAAGGTGCTGTCTCAGATGCTGCGGCTCTGCAGTTAAAATATATTAAGAGCCTGCCGACTCTTAATACATTTAAAAATCAGAAGCACCGGGGGGAGAACTCAGCGTGAGATTAACCCCTCGCTGCGCACCAGCCTTTTAAATGTATTAAGAGCCAGTAGGTCAGAGCCCCAGCAGGGTTAGCTCCCAGGGCTGGGAGCTAACCATGCTGTGGCTCCCCCATTTATCGACTAATCGATGGAAATTCCATCAACTAGTCGATTAGTTGATTAAACTAAATTTAACATCCCTAAAAAGGTGCTATATAAACGGAGTATTTTCCACACATATATCATACAAGCTGAAAGAGAACTTCAGGAAGGACTACGCCATATCAACTGTTTTATTCATTTGTATTGCAACAGTATCCAAAAGGCCCCAGCTACAACTGAAGTGTTATTACACTAGGTGCCATGAGAGACAATCCATGTTCCCAGTAGCTTGCAAACCAAGAAATAAAATATTCTTTTTCCTTTCTTGTCTCAGGATCAAAGCCACTCATTAAATTAAAAGACAATGCACATTAGTGTGCAATTATCTGTGTCTAGAACTGTGCTTTCAAAAAAGCAATGGTACAGAACAGAGTTAGAAACCAAGATACACAATAACCTATAAATGGTAATGAAATGTACCATTCTGTGCTAAGTAGTCAGCTCTATCACATGCATCTTCTTACTCCAAATTGTTTTCCAGTATCTACTTTTCCTAATTAACAATAAAGAATCAGATTTCTTTATTAAGAGAGTATTACTATAGATAACACTGCTGTTTATGGACAGATTTTGTTGATGTTCATTGGGAAACAAAGATTTATGCAACTGCATCAGGTGCCCTCCCCATTTTGTTTAACACTTCTAATTACAAAACTGAGCACCATAGATTTTCATGACCAGGGCTCGACAATTAGGGCAATCTACTCGCCCATGGCGAGTAGATTTTAGCCCGGCACGGCGCCGCAGCGTGATCAGCGCATGCGCAGCACGGTTTGCGCATGCGCAGCGTGCCAAACTGCGTGGCTGGCGAGTGGGGTCACCGCCGCTTGTCAAGCCCTGTTCATGACAAACAAATAAGATTAAATTTGCAATAATCCACACATAAATACATGTCTGGAACACTGCAGCTAGCCCTTTTCTATCCTGTTTATCTATTTTACTTGCAGAGATAAAGGAAAATTTTACATAAGAAGGTAATCATCATTTAGGAGAAAAGGTCTGTTTATATTTTTATATACAATATTTTGAACTCAGTAAGAATCTTCAAACCCCTACATGTCACAGGACTGTACAGTGGATAGGATTGGTGTCTCTGTTAAGACTCAAGGTCTTGCAAAAAAGACCTTGCAAAAAAGTTGATGCAGTGGGAATGTTCAGCTGCATGATGTTAAAATCTTTAAAGGATCAGGGCCTAGAGACCCCCAGATGATCTGTGAGTGGCAGGAAGGCTGTCAGACTGATGCTAGTTGAAGGATACTCACATTTGACAGGGTCCAGAAGTTTGTACCCCCTCATCTGAGTATCGCCAGAATCCAAACATTAATCTATTTGCCTAGTCGCACTGTCAGGTACATGTCATGAAAGAGATCTGGAAAGAGCAAACTGGAAGCTCATTTTTTAATCTTGTTAAAGGCTCCTAAGAGGGATGTCCTGTTATTATGCAAACATAATTGAAACTCATTTAGGCAGCATCGACTCTAACATCACATACTAGCTAATTTAAAGCATAGCACACTTCACTGAGATAAGAAAGGGAACCTGCCTCCCTGCCTTTATTAAAACACTTTTGACTGGCACATTATCTGTAAGCTTAATATTTTGAAACTAGATAGGAATGAAAGCAGATATGTCTGCTCATCAGTGAAACAGGAGTAAAGTGTGTTTATTTACAATCTTCATTGACATTTTTGCACTTGGTTCTATTTAAAATATGGACTTTTGGACACAGATCCAGCTTTCCAAAGGACAAGTAAGTTCTTCCAACCAACATCTTGCTATTATGGAATAAGTTCTCCGAATTAATTCAGAAAAGACCTATTACAGACCTTGACCCATGACACACAGTCTATGTGACCGAAGCACCTTTACTAGTCTGATCAGAAAATCGCAGTGTAAGCTGAAATACAGACCAGGCCCAGTCTGTTATACTCATTATTGGCAATCAATTGTATTTGTTTATTTTACTAATTACAGTAAATATCTTCTCTACTTGGCCGGATCTGAGAAGAAGATTGGGTTCTAGATCTCCAGGCTCATCTGTGACATGGGCAGGTCATATTGACTTGTCTGGTCCCAGTCCAAAAGTGATGTATAAAGTAGTTTCTGTAAGTAGGAGTCTGTAAATAAGGGAAGGTATGAAGGAATCTGAATCTATGGACCTCTCAGAAATGCTTTTCCCCTCACGTAAGAAATTTTGGGGTAAATATTCTTTTTTCGTTTCAGCTGGAAGGTGTTTTGTTGTTGTGGTGCTTTTTTTAGTTTTCATTATAATATTTTGTTTCCTCCCAAATAATCTAGTGGATATAACCAAAAATTGACATTTTCTTTGGAAATCTCCATTTTGACAAAGTAGCCATTTTCTGCTGAAGATCCAGGGCCAGCCCACAACATTTTGGCACCTGAGGTGGGGAGCTTAAATGACGCCCCCATACTCCCTCGCTTGGGCCAAAACTTTGAAAGGTCTCAATTTTGCCTTCTTCCTGTTCTACTCCTCTCATGGGACTGCTCTGCTACCTACATATGCACCAGCAGCAGACACAATTTTCTACACTCTGGGGCCTAGTGGCGCCCTCCCCTCCCCCCCCCAACACACACCGCCCGCCCCCACAGTCTGGCCTCAGTTCGCCTCATGGTAAGGCCAGCCCTGTGGACGTTCCCGCCCTCTCCTCCCACCCCCACATCAGCTGTACAGACCTTCTTTCTTTTCCTTCTTGTATTTTAAATCAGTGCTGGATCTGGAGAACAAGATGGCAGCCTCAGAAAGAAATAACCATTGGCTGAGTGGTACAACCCAACTCAGTTTGTCCGCATTACAAAGTTTTATTGTGTTTGAACCCAGCTGTGAATTAGAAGTGAGCACTTGCAAGTGAGATGACAGAGTGTGACCACAAGTTACTGGTTACATTAGGCCAGGATTAGCATCATTTCAGCTAACTGTGCAGTATTGCATCAAGAATAGCTGGTACACAGTAATTTGTCTTGGCCTACACAGACTGTGAATTCATGTTCCTCAGTGAGTCACCTAACTCAACGGTTCACCACCATAGCCAAACATGAGGTATTACGATGTAGAAAGTCCATCCCTGTGGGATCAGGTATGACTTTAAAATGAGACCCCC